GCCTCTTGTGCAATTCAGTAGGATCATGGCTGATCCAACACTGCTCGTGTGCACTGTACTTTGTTTTCTCCATAACCCTTAATACCCCTGTTGATCAAAAGGCTATCTATTTCAGCCTTAAATATGCACAGAGTCCATAACCCTAGCCCTATCATTGAGTTTCTCCTGCACTTTCTTTTTATGTGAGTGAAGAATGAACTTGTTTTAACATTTGCTGGCCCTGATTAAAATATTAATATAGCAAGATTTCAAACTCCTACCCAGCAACCACAACTGGAAAACAAATCTAGTAAGAACAGCATCAAACTCCTGCTTGGGCCTCTCTCATGCTTGAATGATCAATAGATACTTATCCACATCTGCACATGAAGCACAAAGCAGCTGGGAGAGATGGTGATGTAGAGCAGGGTGGCTTGTTGGTCTGTGCAGCTATATTCTAGACCGCGTGACCACATTCAGAACAGAAGGAATAATAATTGGAAGAACAAAACAGATTCTACTTGATTTTTTGTTTTGTTGAAGTCCCAATTGTTGTTTTAGTGTCTGCTTAAAACCTCAGCAGATAAGTTCAGGCTCACAAATATTTGCATTCCGGTGAGAGGAACAATCTGCAAAATTAATTTGGTAGCCTTATTACGATTGAGTTGCAACATTGCAGTGTTTTTCCCCTTGCTTGTCACAATTCATTTTAAAAATGTTAAAATCAGCTTGTGTTGATACGATTGCTTGCAGGTATCTTTTGAGACAAAAGACCTATTTTTGTGCTGTAAATACCACATAAATCGGCTTTATTTGTGCATGTATATGACATAAAGTTCATATGTAATATTGGGAAAGTTACACTAAGTTGCTGCAGTGCCACTTGTCCTAAGAATAGAAGTGTTATACATAGATTGCTCATACCTTTTTAACTGAAATCAGTTTCTGTTAATAGATCAGAAATACCATAGTGAAACTTGTCCATTCCAGAAACAATGTATTTGGATCCAGCAGCTTGATGTTTGTTTTCTTTTTGCTTATTATTCACTGGTTGGACATGGGCATTGGTGGCTGGCCAACATTTATTGCTCATCCCTAGTTGTCCTTGAGAAGGTGGTGGTGAGCTCAACACCCTTGGGGAAGGAATTCCAGGATTGTGAACCAGCAACAGTGAAGGAACGGTGATACATTTCTGACTCAGGATGGTGAGTGACTTGCAGGGCAACTTGCAGATGATGGTGTTCCATATATCTGCTGGCCTAGTCCTTCTAGAGGGAAGTGGTCGTGGGTTTGGAAGATATTGTCTAAGGATATTTAGTGAATTTCTGCAGTGCATCATGTAGACAGTACACACTGCTGCTACTGACCGTTGGTGGTGTAGCAAGTGGACGCTTGTGGATGTGTTGGCAACCAACTATGTTATTTTGTCCTTGATGGTGTCAAGCTTCTTGAGTGTTGTGGATGGTTCTGAGGAAGGGTTTCCGGACCCGAAACATTAACTCTGTTTTCTCCTTCACAGATGCTGCCAGACCTGCTGAGCTTTTCCAGCAACTTTGTTTTCGTTCTTGAGTGTTGTGGAGTTGCGCTCATCCAGGCAAGTGGGGAGTATCCATCACACTCCTAGCTTGTGCCTTGAAAATGTGGACAAGGTTTTGGGGAGTCAGGAGATGGGTTACTTGCCACAATACTCCTCACCTCTGATCTGCTTTTTTAGTCACTGTATTTATATAGAGTCCAGTTGAGTTTCTGGTCAGTGGTATACCCCAGGATGTTGCTAGTGGTGGATTAAGTAATGGTAACACCATTGAATGTCAAGGGGCAGTGGTTAGGTTGTCTCTTATTGGTGATGGTCATTGCCTGGCATTTGTGTGGAGTGAATATTACTTGTTACTTGTCAGCCGAAGCCTGTGTATTGTCCAGATACTGCTGCATTTGGACATGGACTGCTTCAGTATATGACAAGTCACAAAACACAAGCATCCCCACTTCAGATCTTATGATGGAGGGAAGGTTATTAATGAAGCAGTTGGAGATGGTTGGGCCCAGACTACCCTGAGGACCTCCTGCAGAAATGTCCTTGAGCTGTGATGACTGACCTCCAACAACCACAACCATCTTCCCAAGTGCAAGGTATGACTCCAATCAGAAGAGATTTTTCACCCAGATTCTCATTGATTCCAGTTTTGCTTGGGCTCCTTGATGCCACACTCGGTCCAATGCGGTCTTGATGTCAAGGCCTATTACACTCACTTCTGGAATCCAGCTCTTCTGTTCATATTTGAATAAGACTGTAATGAGGTCAGGAGCCGAGTGGCCCAGGCAGACCTCAAACTGGGTGTCAGTGAGCAGGTTTTTGCTAAGCCGGCACTGCTTGATAGCACTATTGATGACACCTTCCATCACTTCACTGATTTTGTCCTGCTTTTTGAGTATAGGACGAGCCTGGGCAATTCTCCACATTATCAGTAGATGACAGTATTGTAGCTGTTTGGAACAGCTTGGCTAGGGGTGTGGCAAATTCTGGAGCACAAGTCTTCAGTACTATTGTTGTCACGGCCCTGCTGAGAAATACTTTAAAAATACTAGAAGTTGCTTGTAATGAATAGTGTGCAAAATTAGTGGACATTTAAAGTGCCTTTACCCGTGGTCACTTACGGTCTAGACTGCAACAGTGCTGATTGTGTGCTGTATTGTTGGAGTTGCAAACCATCAGATAACCAGTCTTAACAAAAGCAAGTCTTGTCTTATTTGCACAGTTCCATCAAAGGAGGATTAGGCATTTCCATCTCTTCTGACCAACATTCATTCGGCAAACACTACCTGAAATTAATTGTTTACACTTAGTTATTTCAGGGATCTTGTACACAAATTTACTGCAATTTTGCTGGCATACATCGTTGCATGTAAAAATAATTAGGTGCACCTGTAGCCTTTTGAGAGATGTGATTGGATGTTATCTATATGCAATTCTTTTTATTTGATTGATTTGAATGTTCTGGTAAATTATATACCAAGCGCAAGATATTTTGCATCGATAGTTATCTCCACAATCATAAGGGTACATGTTTGTTGTCTTGCTGTGGGAGGAAACTTACAAAAGTAAAGAGGTTGCTCAGGGCTTACCACAGACCTAAGCAGGAAGAAATCTGCAGTCTTTGGACCCTGATGCATACTGCCTTTTATTATTTTCCCCAGAAGTAACAATGTTTGGTGGGTCCCATAGAGCAGAATTGAAGAAATAGGAACAGGAGTAGACCAAATGAAACTGGTTCAGCCTGCTCCACCATTAAATATGATCACTGCTGATCCTGATTTTGACGTCGCCTAGGTCCCTGCTCCCCATTTTCCTTGATTTGGAGGGATACCACTAATCTGTCTTAGCTCAAAGATACTCAACAATGAAGCATTCAAATGCTTCTGGTTAGAGAATTCCAACGATTCTCAAGAACAGTTGAGTGAAGGAATTTCTACAGCTCAGTCCTAAATGATTGGCCCTTTATCCTGAGACTCAATTCCCCACTCGGGGATACAGAAATTCTTCTGTATCTACCTTGTCAAAATCCTTCATCATTATGTTTCAATTGTATCTCAGCACATTATTCAAAACTCCAGTCAGAATGGCCTAATCTACTCAGCATCTCATTGTAGGACTATCCTGTCATCCAAAAAAATCAATCTAGTGCATAGTTCCTGTGCCACTTAAAATGCAAGGATATCTTTTCTTGATATGAAGACCAAAACTGCATGCTGTACTGAAGAGGTGATCTCAGCAGAGCCATATGCACTTACAGCAAGACTTCTTTATTGAATTGCAGTTGAAATATAAAAATAAAGGCAAACATGCCTTTGCTTTCCTCATTGCTTGCTATACCTACATGCTTACTTTTTGTATTTTGTAAACGCATGTCCAAGTGCCTCAGAATGTCAAGTTTCATGCCTTATAAGCTGCCTTAAAAATATTCCGTTTTTCCACTCTTACTACTAAAGTGAATAACTTCACACTTCCTACATTGTATGCCATCTGTCACCTTGTTGCCCACTCACTTAACCTGTCTATATCCATTTATGTGCTTAGTATTGACATTCCTGCCTAGCTTTGTATCAAAAGCAAATTTGGATCAAGAAACCAGGAGTAAAGTAGCTGAGTCATTAATTTGGATTGACCCTTGCTGTACTGCACTAGTCACAGATTGCCAACTTAAGATTGCAGTGTTTATCCCCATTCTTAGCTGCTTCTAGTTCTCTGGTCTTTCTCTCCCTCTTTCTCCCCTTTTCTTGAATATTGGTATTACACTTGCTAGCTTCCAATCTACTTGGACCATCCTAAGTTTTATTACTTAGGATATTGTTCGCAGGAACAGACCATTTGGCCCAACCAGTCTATGCCATCATTTATAGCCTAAGTTAGGATGGGACGTTTAGTGTTTATTTAAGTAGTCTAATCAATAAGTTTTCGATTCATAGAATTGTTGATCACCTAATGACTTTAGCCTGTTCTTTCCTCCCCGCTTTAGAGCTTAGTTTACATTGAAATAGTGCTCCTGGATTTACTTTATACCATGTAGCATCTAGTGCACTGTACTTCTATAAAACCCTCTTGCCTTATTTCAAAATTAAAGCCGCCTAATTTCTCCAATTTTGAGAGTTTAGTCCTCTGGTATTGAGAGTTAGCCTTGTGGTTGGTCTGTATTCTGGGTTGTTCCCCTGTGACTTGGTATCCAAAACTCTTCAGTTGCTTTATGCAGTCTGTGTCCTGTTGATCTGTTTGCCACCTGCTTAAAGGGAACTTTTGATTTATCAAAATTTTCTTAGCTTCCCCACTATCCCCTCAAAGCAAGTGATAGTGGTACAATGAATTTATAGTTAATAATAATGAAATTTTACATAGTCCAAGTATACCTAATTGTGCTCCCCGCTGCACCTGAGGGATTATTGTAGTAAATTGGTAACAATGTATTGTAATGATTTTAATATGAACTGTGATGAAGACTTTGTCTAATACAGTTAATTGTTGCACACAGGATACGGGATGCCTCGGGTCGCCCCAAACGTGAATATCAGCCCAAGCCAAGAAGCACTTACACCGAATATGGAGATGCAGACCATTCCAATGGTGGTTTCTCTTATAGCGGGTCGACAAAATCACAGGGTAAGCAAATTTTCTTTGCTCATTGTAGTCATTATGCAGTGTTAGCCACAGCAGTAACTAACTAGCTGATCAATTCGGTCAATAAGCTCTTCAAAGTCACCTCACCCCAGTCATTGTGAATTGTTTATTTTCTTTGAGCCATGTTACAGTAAAGCAGACAGCATGCTGAGAAAGTGGAAGATCCGCACATACTCAGCAGCAGGGTTTATATCAAGGAGGGACAGGTTAAGAAGATTATGGCAGCCTGGTAGTGAGCTAGAAAACTAGGAAGCTGTTTGTTTGATCTTGTCAGTGCTGAGATATCAGATCTCTACTCAGGTTGTAATCGAGGCACTGAAACTAAGTTCAACAGTTCAAATCTAAGAAGAAGAAAGATCAGCCAGGATTACTGATGCTGATTGCTAAACAGGGATTTCCCACTGATAAGTGCAAAGGCGAATGCACAATGCGCTTAGTACCAGGTTAAACTGTGATGCACTCTTTTTGTCAAACTGCTTGTCAAGTCAAATTTCCTATCAAGATTTGTACATGAAGGTTAGCTGCTGGTAACGAGCTAGAATGTAGCCACCATTTGTGGTACTGTGTCCCTTTGTGAGAACAGGTGAGAAACTTAGCAAGAATTAAAGTAGATTCTCAATCCTCAACCAAAATGAGATTGGATAAATTTTACTGAATGAATTGTTCAAATGGTTGTATTGCTATGGCGAGTCCAGTTGAGTTTCTGGTTAATGGTAACCCCCAGGATGTGACAGTGGGGGATTCAGTGATAATAACACCATTGAATGTCAAGGGGTGGTGGTTAGATTGTCTCTTAATGGAGGGTAATTGCCTGGCATTTGTAGTACACGTGTTACTTGCCACTTGTCAACCCAAGCCTGTATATTGTCCAGATCTTGCTGCATTTGGACATGGGCTGCTTCACTACCAGAGTAGTCATGAATAGTGTTGAACATTGTGCAGTCATCAGTGCACACCCCCACTTCAGACTTCATGATGGAAGGAAGGTAATTGATAAAGCAGTTAAAGATGGTTGGGCGTGGGACACTAACCTGAGGACCTCCTGTAGAAGTGTCATTTCAGCTCCAGGACTGACCTCCAACAACCACATCCATCCTCCTAAGTGCTAGGTAAGACTGTAACCAGGGGAGAGTTTTCTCCCTGATTTCCATTTCCTGGAAACCAATATTTACTAAATAGATTTCCTTTGATTTTATTTTTGGCCAAAAGTTCAAATTACTATCCAGGCACTAGTAGTTACACTCCTGATATCTGGTCATAAAGACCAGAGAGTTTGTCAATGTTGTTATGAACTTGAGGTTTTGTCGATAAAGAGGGGAGAAATGCCTGAATTTTAGCTGCCTTTATGCTTTGCTAGGGCTGCCTTGGACTCTAGTAACATCTGGCAAACGTATCACCAGCTAGCAACATTAGATCAATATGAAAGTGACTTCTGTTCCTTCATTTAAGTGTGTCTGTTGGATTATGTTATTAATCTGCAGAGTGCAGTAAACTCATCTCTGGTGAACTTCTTAACATCAATCATTCTCCTGCTTTTTTGAGCAGATGTCCTTTTTTGAATCCAGATGTAGTTGAACTTTTTTTTATCCCCCATTCCCCCATCCCCCATCCCCCATCCCCCATTTTGGAGAAGATCTTGGTGAGCTGCTGCCTTGAGCTGTGTGCAAAATGATTGTTCCACCCATTCGTCTATTTTCAGAGATTATTTTCTTAGTCTGTTTACTGTATCTGCCTAATTGTTTGAGCCTTAACAAAGCTACAAAGTCGTGTTCTCAAAAATGTAGTTTATGATAATTAAGCACATAAATGAAATCCCATCTCCCACCCATCACCTCATCTACAACTTAATGCTGCTGTGTACTTCACATCTGCACAACAAGGATAAATGTTTACATGTAAATTACTTGATTACCTTAACTTTCTCCCCCACTGGAACATTTTTTTTGAAAGAGCCATTGAGGTACTGATCCAAGCAGAGCAGAAGGTCTCTGGGAGTTGAGCAGAAAATGCTAGAAATACTCAACAGGTTATGGCAGCATTTGCAGAGAGTTACTATTTCAAGGCTGTGACCTTTTATCAGACTGAGTAAAGTTAGAGGTATAATAAGTTTTCAGCAGGGGAGAAAGGAAGGTCTCTGATAGGGTGGAAGACAGAAGAGATTGAAAAATGAAAGAGTTATTCTTCCAGGACCAAAGGGTATGGTGATGGGACAAGAAAAGGTATAAAAATGTATGCTTAGAACATGTGTGTTGCTGACTGAAAGCAAAAAATGAGAGGAAAACTGAAAGAAAACAAAATGGATGTCAGGGTAACTGACATTTCTGCCCTGGGCCTATTCACATTTCCAGTGAAGCTTAATGGAAACTTGATAAACATCACCTGATATTTCAACTAGGTATCTTACAGCCTTCTGAACTGAACAGTTTTAGACTATCATCTCTGTGCTTTCAGAAGAAAGAGTTGGCTCTTAGTAGGTCTCCTCACTACTTCTCGAAACTGGATCCCTGAATTAGATACTAAGTGCATTTGAATGAGGAACATCTCTTCCCTCCCCTGGAAACATGTGGGTTTCCTTTCCGGCTTTCCTGGATGGCTACTCCCTCGCCTGCTGCTGGTTGAATACAAGGAATAGACGATGTGGCTCTTGAGGGCATTAATTGTCAATTAAAGACTTTAATGTCCAGGCATGAAAGCTATTTATGAACCTTCCTGCCACAGACTGAAATTGAACAATTGGAAGAAGGGATCCAACCACACTCTGCTGCCTGATTAAATGACCACCCTCCAAATTCATCCCTGACAGGAGTTCCACAGTCGGTAAGCTATTCTTAAACACCTCAAAAACCAACAATATCAGAATGTTTCAACTCCTTGACTTATTCAATAGTTATAATCTTGGTGACTGTCTCAGCATTGAGGAAAAATATGTAACTTTTCTAGTAACCATTTGAGAGTCTCAGTGCAATAATACTATTGAAATGCATTTTTAAAGACCACAGGGCCCCACTTAATGCCTTCTGTATGGTTGTGCTACATTTAGCCTTGCGATACTGGGGTTAGGAGGGTAGAAGGTTCCTGTCGTTGTCTCATGGCTGTTGTGTTGGACAACAGTTGTTTGGTGTCGTCTACTGATGTTCAATATCAAGCTCAACTGTGATGCTTTCCACTGTCATTTTGCCTGCCAGCACTCACTGTAAAGGATCTCCACTTGGCAAGGTGCCAGGAATGCTAGCAAGGCTGCTGGCGCCAATAGAACTATACATCAGACAGAGTCAGCAATTGCATGAGCAAAGAAAAGAAAAATGTTAAGATTATAATGTACTGTTAACATTACATAAAAAGGTTATTTTGTGAGATAGCAGTACTCGCAGTAAGAACTATGGTCTCTGATTCATCCATCCCCAAACTAGTTGAAAGAATGAATGTGTATCTTTTTCCTGACCATAATATTTATTTCTCTGTCTCACAATTAGCAATATGGTTACGATATTGCATCCATATACTGCCTTGTCAGCTGTAATTCAGATGGTTGAACAGCTATCCATAAAGTGAACATTGCGTTCCCCTCATCCTCTGCTGATCTAAGCCACAGACAGTTGCTGTCTATCCCTGTGTTACCGAGTCTCTATGATGCTCTAGTTGTTATGCTCAGTAGCAAAAGAAAATTGTGTTCAGGTCAATGTTCAGTACAGTCTTCATTTCATTTCCTGTATGTTGTTTATCCTCTCAAGTTGCTCCCAATGAAAGATATGTAACCATCAATGGCATTTAAAAAATATGTTCCAGTGGGGAAAACTGTGAAGGTATTCAAGTCAATGACCTGTTTAGATTTATCTGACTTCAGGTTTAGGCTGCTTAGTGAGCCCTTTTTAGGCAGTTTATATTCACTGGTGAATTGGTGGAATGAACCTTAGTACATAAAGGGACGGTTTAAATATTTTCCCGACAAAAGACATGTTAGAATATGGGATGCATTACTGTATTCAGCTATTGAAACCCAGTTGATCACCTTTAAGAGCAGTTGAAAGAACAGGGAAATGGAATTAGAGTTGATCTCTAGTCAGAAACTAGCTCTGACAGAAACTTAATTCTGCACCAGAATTTCTACCATACATAGCTTTCCAAATATGCCATATATCTTGCGGTATTTCAAAGAAAAAATGTTGTCCCTCCTGCATAAAAAAAGTGGATGTCAGGAGAAATAGAGTATTGTATTGCAAAGTAATCTGCAAGCAAGCAACATTCCTCATACTGAGATAACAAGGTGTAGAGCTGG